TTTTTTCAACAAGTTGTTCCGGGGACAGGCTGTTGGAACGATTTCAACTCATTCTTCGCCCAGGAAAGCGCATTTGCTACTGTGTGACCACGACTACTACGGCAGCTGCCACGGCTAGCACCGCGACGGTGCCGATCGTGTCTTTGGCAATCAGTTATGGTTCTTCCTCCAGAGCGAGCACCGCAACAGGCACATTTCCTACCAGTGGATGGCAGCTGAGTGCTCCAGGCCCGAAAGCCCAATACTCATATGTAGGAGATGCTCCACTCATGAAGATTTGGATGTGGCTCCAAAAAGTCCTCGGCTGACAAACCAACGGACCCTCATGTCCTTTAACCATTGGGCCTCATCATTTGTGTTTGTATCATCTAACTTCTAAAAGACATACTCTTCTTAGTGTGTCACCTGCTCTGCGATCATCCCTCCTTGGAGGGGGCACCTGCGATGATGTGTGTGGAGTTGACCTTTGCGACAAGAATGCCATGGCCAGAGTGAATGACGATGCCACGGTGGCATCAGTGTTGAGCAGTCTAGGAAAAACATGCTCGACATTTCTTGGGAGGAGCTCTGCAGGGGCTCCTTTCTTTAAAGGTCCAGAGCTTTGCACTTACTACGATGGTGCAAGCCCAGCGGGGATCGATTGCTCAGACACCACCAATCCTGGCCATGAAGCTTTGTGCTACTGCAAGACCTCGCTGATCCAGATCGAGGAAGACGAGCACGTTGCTGACGCACCTTGGCTCTGAGATCTGGAATGAAGACCCCTTTTTTGGTCTGGTGTTTGGTGCAAGACGAGCAGCGGGGAGATACAATGCTATACAGTTATACATATGCCTTGGACAATGTTTTTTCTATATAGTGCAAGCTTGCTTTTTGCCAACTTTACCTCTGACTGAGGATAGCTCGAGCGAAGAAGACGACTTCCGCTTCCCCCCCCCCGAAGGATTTCAACTTGTGCCAGTCTCTGCTGCACCTTGGTTCCGAGATCTGGAATCTGGACCCCTGAAAGAAGATTGGGACCTCTAGATCAGATTCAGATCAGGTGATTGGATCAGATATGCTTCATTGTGCTTCTAAACAGTCTGTTCGGTTCTGGTGCACACATGCTTGATTAACTTTACCCAAGGACAGCTCGCAGATGGATGCCGCGCCCTTCTCCAAGATCGTCCGCTTTGAAGCCAGCTGCGCCAACCCAACGGCATGCTATGACATTTACCGGTTTGGGGGATGTGTTGCGCCCGGTGCACTTGGTGCAGCCACAGACCGGGTGTACTGGGGAGTAGTGACCCCGGACCGTGATCGCCCAACCGTTCGTTGGAGGGAGCAGGATCCTTCACCAGTTCCTTTAGCAGGACACAGCGTGGTGGTGGCTGACCCCACCTATGCAATTGTTCTTGGTGGCCAGAGCTCCTGTTCTGAAGATGCTACCTACCTGGACTTGACATTTTTGTGGAGGAGGGCAGACGCAGGATGGGTTAGCTTGCCTGCCATCCCAGAGCCTTGCGGTCTGTCCTTTCACACGGCGAACTATTTCAACGATGCCGGCAACGTTGGGATGGTGGTCTTGGGTGGTCGTCGTGGAACATCTGGGAGCGCCTGCAGCGATCCGACGGCTCCAAGAGTTTCGAACAAGGCATGGTGGTTCGACCTTAACGGATATGTTTGGACGGAGCGACTAGGCGAGACATTGGCTGTAGGCTGCAGATAGTCATGCCAGTCACTCCTGGTTAGAGCATTTTAGAGCAGCCTTTGTGCGTGGACTGTTTGGTCGCAGATCCGAGGAAAGAGACGGAAGGATGGCCTGGTGCATGGGGGCACGCGAGCGCCGTAATGAGTCTAACTGCGGCTGGGCCAGCTAATCGGCTGTTTGTCCATGGTGGCCGCACGGAGGATGGATCCTTAATTTGTGTCTTGCGCTACTCTCCTCTTGATGGCATCTCGACACCCGGTACTTGGACGCATTTGGATGAATCAATCTTTTGAAGCCTAAAGGCTGAGGATTGAGATCCTCGGTTTCTAGGCATGATCACAAAGATGGGTCAACAAATTGCAGTGATCACGAAAGGTAGCGGTTACGCTACCTGAGTTGCCTTGCTTTAGCAATGTATTGGGGGTGGTCACGAGCTCCTGTGCTTGATTTCGGTCGTTTAAGAGTTGGTTTTAAATGTCGGGCCCCCCCCCCCATTCGACTCCACCCTGCGCCGCGGAGAATTTGGTAGTGATCTGAGCAGAAGCAAGCAGCCAGCAGCAGCAGCAAACCAGCAATGCAGCAGCAGCAGCAGCAGCAGCAGTAGCAGTAGCAGCACAGCAAATTGGCAAAGCAAGTCAACGCCAAGTTGTTGTATCAGAAGCGTATGCTGCTGTCCAACTACGAGTCCATCACCCGACAAGGCCATGAGTCGATTCGACGCTTCATCAACGGATACAATGATAGAAGCGTTTTGAGCGTGTTTTTGCAGTCGGCCGATCAGTTCAGCAGCTATGTATGATTCAGAGTCGCGTGGCAACAAGTTGTTGGAGCGTTGCGTGCAAGTTGGATCCACAGCTTCAGGGGTTGACACTCATTGGAGCTGAAGCAGTAGCCCACAACTGCAGTTTCCAGATTTCAGGCCAACTCCACCGGTGTTCCAGTCAGATGGTGTTCCAGTCAGATGGATGGCGACCAGGCAGCAAGTCGACGGCTTCCACATCAGCTTCAAGTTCAGCACCGACCTTGCCTTCCTCCGCCTCCGCGTTCAATCGGGGGAAAGGCGAAGGACCACGCCGTGTCTACCAGACAGAGCTTGCTGACGCAGGCGATGCAGAATACTTCATAAGTGGCAGGGGTTTACGCTGCAGAAGAGGCCGATGAGGAGCAACCTCAGGACATGCGCGATTGGCCTTGTGGGTTGGCCTTTTGGAGCTTAGGTCGAAGTTGTTTTTCTTCTTTTCATGTTGAAAAATAACACTAAAAATATTAGTTTTTCAATCATGGTGACAAAAAGTGCCCCACTGGTCTAAAAAATCAGTGTGGTTTTCTTTGTAACTTCAAAATGAAAAATGTCATTGTATATTGTCTTTTGTTTCTGAGAGGTTATGATCCGTATTTTTTCATACCGTTTGTGACAGGAGAAGAGCAACGATGACTGGCATGCTGATAATGATATACAAGGCAGTATATGCTTACTGCTTAGGCTACCATCCTCGTCATCCAATGCTTGCTGACCTATGGTATCATTGATATAGTTGTCAAGAAAGGCCAATGCAGCCGGAGTTTGAAGGCCAACTTTTCAAGGTTTTGAGTTTGGTCATACCTACTGAGTGATAGACTCAAAGAACGCCAAGAGGTGGTGAAAGGCATCGAAGCATGGCTTACAGAACGGATCAAGGGTGACCCAGGAAAGAGCAGCCACCTGCGCTCCATGCTGGAAACGTCTCTGTGGACTCCATCAGAGTGTACGACAGCCTGGGAGAATTGATTCAGATGCACGCAACACTTGTAAGGCTTGCGCTTTCGAGCTGCAGTCATAATAATTTGCTGGGGAAGTTGGGCTAGCGCAGCGATGCTGCTGCAGTTCGACAAGTGTAGCATGAAGTGTGACCTGAATCATGAATCAGGTGTAAGATTTCCAGGAGGCCTTGTGGTACACAGAAATTTTTGTATTTAACCTTTCTGTTGGGAAGGAAGCATGCTACTCAGCGGCGCTTTCTCATCGTATGATTTTTGTTATTTCGCACAGGAAGGGGTCAAAAGGAAAAGCTGCGCACCATAGTCATGGCTGATTGGCCATACAGTTGAACATCTGGCAAGTAACGCCCTGCTCATCATGCCCCAAAGGACCAGGAATCAAACCTCCGGCGGACTGCGGCTGCTATTTTCATGCTTCACCAAGAATGTGTTCCTCAAGGGTGTCGCGCGAGAGTGTCCCACAAGAGCTTTCATCCCACAAG